ATGATGCCAAATCCAAGCTCCTGGGAAGTCCTGCTTGATTGAAGCCCTATTTTATTTTCTCCTTCTGACTGTCTCCACTTATAGACACTCATGGGGTTTATTCCATCTCTTTTTTCCTCTCCCATTTTAAGGTCCTACACCTTCCAGGACCTATGCATTTTTGAAAACACAGGTTAAAGCTCACCAGTGAAAGACTACCTGATGGACTCAAACTCCAGCAGTGTCCTTCCCAGTGGAGTGTGTGGCCTGTGCCCAGTAGCCCTGGTTTATGCTGAGCTTGGTCCTCACCGGCTTTCTCTATGGCCTACTCCTGGAAGACATATCAAGTTCAGAATCTTGATTTAGGAGTACAAATCTTTAAATTCACTTCTGAGCAAGCTTACTGACTCCTAGCCTTGCTTGCTGGTTGGGAGCATTCAGTCCCTGTGCAGTGAAAAGGGAGTGATGTAGAGAGGACCAGGTCTGCTGTCCGGGCGCTCCAACTGACTTGAGATTCGTGTTGGAGAAATCCCAGGCCCTCAATAAAGGAATCTCTAAGAGGTCATTGCTAAATGTGGCAAAATGCAAAAAAGAATGACAGCGTGTTTGGTTTCTCACATAACTAAATTTATTCTTTGAAAAAAATTTTGAGATTATGTTTGTTTTTTTTTTTTGGAGTGATCGGGAGAGTTAAAAGTTTCAATTCTATTGCAGTGATGAGATAACTGATGGTAGCTTTTTGGTTTTTATTTTATTAACATTGTTTAAAATACTCTTTCTTTGCAAAATAAAGTTGGTTATCCTATTGTCTCCCAAATTTGGGGACATTTTGTGCAAGACAGTGAAATTCTGCTGTCTGGAAGTTGCTGCTTTTTTCAATGTGGATATAAATGAAGGACACTCACTTTAGGCCTCTTTCAAGGAATTCCTAGCTGAACTCATCTCAGTGAATATAGGACTTCCTGCTAAGGGCCAGATGTGGGGAGACAATCATGAACAGCACAGAATAGTTTGGAATTTACATGCCTCTCATGGAGAACAAAAACATCTAAACAGACAAATGAAAATTTCAAATTGTATTAATTGTGTGAGAGAGAGGGGGTGGGAAGAAGTGGGGGAGAGAGAGAGAGAGAATGTGTGTGTGGCTACGTGCGTACGCGTGCGTGCGTGCGTGCGCGTGCGTGCGCGTGCGTGCATGTGCATGCGTGCATGCGCGCGCATGTGCGCACGTGTGTTGTATCTTGGGAGACCTTTGTGAGGAATATTTAAAATGACTACTAAAGGATGAGAAAGGGCTCTTTATACAGAGAGTGGGGAAGAGCATTCTAGGTAGAGGGAAAAGCATATACGGAGGCCCTCAGGTGAGAGGAGGTTGCCACGTTTATGGTTCTAGAAGATGCTCAGGGGTGGACTGTCAAGAGCAAGGGGATGGTGGTATGGATAAGGTCAAAAAAATAGAAACAAACCATGTCAGGCTTTGCAGAACATGCCAAAGAGATTGAATGTTATCCTAAATGCAATGAGAAGCCATAAAAGGTCTTACTTTTAAAATTTTTGTAAACTTTTTTTTTACCTGAGGTATATAGTTTACTTACAATAAAATGCACAGATATGAAGTATATAGTTTGTTGTAGTTTGATAAATGTATAAACCTGTGTAACCACTAAAATAGTAACGTGAAGAATATAGATAAAAGGCCAATAGAGGAGATAAAATACTAGAAAACCCAAAACTTAATTAAACCAAAAGAAGATAGAAAAGAATTAACGATAGAACAAGTAGCAGAGAAGACAACAGATGAATAGCAAAATGGTAGATTTAAACCCAACCATATGGATAATTACGTTAAATGTAAATGAGCAAAACAAAATCCCAATTAAAAATGGAGATTGTTAGACTTGGATAAAAAAGCCAGACCCAACTAGTATTCTGTTTATAGGAGATGCACTTTCAGTTTAAAGAGACAGACAGTTTGAAAATAAAGGGATGGAAAAATATATACCAGGTAAATACTGAGAATAAGAAAACTGAGGTAGGTATATTAATACCAAACAAAAGAGACTTTAAAATGAAGAATGTTACCCAAAATAAAGATTACTTCATAGTGATGAAAGAGTAGATTCATTAAGAAGACAAAAGAATCCTAAATATGTATGCATCAAACAGTAGAACTTCTAATATATGAAGCAAAAATTGATGGAATTAGAGGGAGAAATAGGCTTATCCATAATTTTAGTTGGTAATTTCAATATTTTTCTCTCTGTAATGATAGAACAAGGAGGGGGAAAAATCCCTAAGGATATAGAAGATTTAGAAAACAATATCAACCAACTTGTACCTAATCGAAAAATCTGGGCCTTATACAAAGTCGCTAAATGTCAGAATTTTGAAATCGTAGAGTATATTCTATGACCACAATTAAATTTAAATTACTAACAACAAGTATTATAAATACTTCCCCCCAAATATTTGGAAATTAAATAAAATACTTTAAAATAATCCATGAATCAGATAATGATGGCTACTCTACAGATTATAATATTCATCCTGGATTTATCACAGCCTACCTTGTTTTAATAATTTACGATTTCATGTACAATGTACTCTTTTTCCTATACGTTGTACTGTCGTCACATAGTTTACTTCTATATGAGAGTTAAATTCACAAGGCATTGTTATTATTTTGCTTTAATGAATTGTCTTTTACAGAATTTAAGAAAATAACTAAAATTGGTATTTTATACTTACTACGTATTTATAATTTCCAGTGCTCTTCCTTCCTGTATATCTGAAATTCCATGTTATAACGTTTCCCTTTAGTTTGAAAAAGAGCTTCTTTTAGCATTTCTTTTAGTGTGGGCCAAATGGAGTTACATCTCTCAAATTTCATTTATCTGAAAACGTCTTTATTTTGCCTTCATTTGCTGAATATAGAATTCTAGTTTGAAGGTTTTTTATTTTATCACTTTAAATATGTTGTTCCATTGCCTTCTGGCTTGTATTGCTTCTGATGACAAGTTAGTTACCATTTTTATTGTTATTTTCCTGTGTGCATCCCCCTACCCCGCCTTATTGGCTGCTTTTAACAGTTTATCTTTGGATTTCAGAAGTTTGAGTATATGCTTCTGAGTAGTTTTCTTTATACTTTTCTTTCTTTGGATTCATGGACTTCCTGGATCTGTGAGTTGATTTTCTGATCAAATTGGGAAAAAAATTCATTTATTATTTAATATCTATTACTTTTTTTTCTGCTTCATTTTCTCCTGTCCTTTTGTAACTCTAATTCCATGTATATTAGACCACTCAATATTGTTCTGCTGGTTATTTGGGCTCTGTATATTTTTTTCAGTCTTTTCTCTCCATTTGCTTCAGTTTGGACAATTTATATGGATCAGTCTTAAAATTCATCGATCCTTTCTTTTCTGCAGTTAATTGATTTAGGGTACTGTGTTTCTAGTTATAGGATTTCTATTAGAATTTTGTTTTTTAGTTTTCCAGGTTGTTCCTGAAACTCCTCATCTCTTTTCCCATTAAGTCCGTCTTTTCCTCTGGACTCTTTAACATATTTATCATAGTTACTTTGAAGTTCTTGCCTTCTACTTGCAATACCAAGGTCATTTGTGTATCTGTTCCGATTTGAGTAATTTTTCTCTTGAGTGTGGATCAAATTTTTCCATTTCTGTGCATGAAATTTTTTACTATGTCTTAGATATTGGTGGAAGGTACATTGAAGAGACTCTTAATTCTGTTATTTCCTCTGAGGAATGTCAGATTTGCTTCTATCTTAGATTATTGATGGTTCACCTTAAACAAAGCTAGATTTTAAACTGCGTTGGGGAGGGTCTATTTCAATATTTTTCTTAGTCCCAGGGTGAATATTTCAATCTTTAGATCTAGTTCTTACTTCTAATTCTTGGCTCTTTTGAAATTTCAGTGGAAACCTAAAGTGTTTAACTGGCCCTTTCAGCTTGGTGGGATTCAGACTGCAAACCCTGGCTCTTCTGAGGTGTGTGGGAGCTGAAATTCCTGCTCAGCTCTGGGAGCTGCCCACCTGCTGTTTTGTTCCTGGGATTCTCATAGGCTCCTTTGTGTATATATATAATTCAGGAGTCAACCAAGGATTTGAAGGGAATTTATATGCAGGTTTGGGGGCTTCTCCTTTCCACTTCCTCTTATCCAAGGTTTTCCCCTTTAGTTTTCAGTTATTCTTGGGATTTCAAACTGTTCTCTGACTCCTCAGGCAAATACAACTACAGTTTTCTTTCTATTCAAATTCCAGCTGTCCAGTGCCATGCAGACTGCCCTCATGGAAAAAGCCATTTAAACATAATTCTTGTCCATTGTGATTCCCTCTTTCAAGGATCAAATAACTTATGGTTTATTCCTAATTTTGGCTATCCATTAACTTTAAATAATTGTTTTAAATATTTTGTCAATAATTTTAAGTTGTTACCTGCAGGAGAGTCAGTCCAGTATGAGCTACTTACTTTGTCATTACCAGAACCAGAACGACACTGAGGGTTTTTAAGCAGAGGAGTAACATGACTACACTTATATAAGAAAGTTATTTTAGCAAATATGTGAAGACTTATAGTAGGGGGGCAAGAATGAAGGTAGGAAGACAAATTAAGCCTATTGTCAGAGTCTAGTGGTTGATGATGATTACTTAGACTAGGTGATGATAGAGGACACCGGTCACAACAAGCAGTGGAAAAGTCTGAAATCCATTTTTGGCTAGATTTGGTGATGAGCAGGGAAATAAAAAAAGGGAGAAGTCAAGGGTGACTCTCAAATTTCTAGTTTGAGAAACTGAGTAATGAAACTATTTACTGAGATAGGTAAGACTGAGGAGGGATAAGATTTGGGTCAAAAATCAAGTTTCATTTTGGATATAAGTCTTAAGATGATAATAAGATAAATGATTGTCAAGTAAACAATTGTAAGTCTGGAGCTCAGGAGAGAGGTCTAATTTAATAGTCCTGGCTGCTAGAACTTGAGGGAGGTGTACTTCTGTGGAGGGAAGGAATTCTATCCAGGGGATTGAGAACTGAAAAAAGAGCTGGATGTTGAGTTTCTGGACTCTGGGAGAGATGAGAAGCTGGCAGAGTTAGCCTCCTTATAATTGGGATGTTCAGGGGAGGTTGACTAAGATTGCTTTTTCTTCTGGATGCAGGGTTACAAGGAAGAGAAGATCCAAGGCGAGTGCTGTGGGCGATGTCTGCCTATGGCTTGCACCATTCAGCTAAGGGGAGGACAGATCATGACACTGAAGGTAGGAGCCAGCTGAACTCGGGAATCCTCCTTGTCTCAATACCTGGTTTCCTATTTGGAGCTCTTTTCTTCAAGAAAGAAGGACTAAGTTTGGGTCAATATTGACTTCTTTCTGGTTTTGTAAAGAAAAGATGAGCAACTCATAGAAGGCACAGAATTTTCTCTTTGATTTGGTTGTCATTCTTTTTTTTTAATTAGATTTTTTTTTTATTATTAGTTTCCAGCATACAGTCCATTGGTTAGACATTTATATAGTTTATGAAATGATCCCCCTGATTACTCTAACTTCCTTCTGGCTCTACACACAGTTTCTACACACAGTCTTCTCGACAAATTGGTATATGGCCCCATGATGTCTATAAGGCTGGAAAGGCAATCAGGGTGAAACAAACTTTAATCTGTGAAAGCCAGAAATGGCTGCTAGGGTTGGGAGGTGGAACCTGGTTCATCTTTAGTTCAGTTGTTGATTAGTCAGTTTACCTTCCTTATGTCTTAATTCTTTAAGCTTTTGAGTGGTCAAAAGAGTTTGGGAGAGTATCTACATTTATGCAGTCCTATTCTTAGTAAATAAGTTGTAAAAGGACTCTACCTCTTTTCTGTCTTCTGGGTGTGTGTGTATAGATACTGTCTCATTCTTATTCCATAGTCTTCCAAATTGTTTCGACAACTCCCAGGAGTCCAGGGCATGGTTTGAAGTGGCTTTGTAACCCAACACTGTCTTCACATTTGCCCTCTTCCCTCCCAGCGTGATGAGACACTCCAGGATGGCTGTGACAGTCACTTCTGCAAGGTCAACGAGAGAGGAGAGTACATCTGGGAGAAGAGGGTCACAGGCTGCCCGCCCTTCAATGAGCACAAATGTCTGGCTGAGGGAGTGAGTAGCCGAAGCTCAGGCTCTACTTTCCCCTTGACCGTCTCCATCTCTCCTCTAAGAAGAGTCCTTCTGAACAGCAAGCAGTCCAGCCCAGACGTGATTTCCCAGTGTCCAAGGGAGATCCCCGACCCAGCTTACGAGTCAGTGAAATTATAAGATTGGGCCCCGTGGAGAGACAAAACTCTCTGCACTACATGATGACTTAAAAAAAAAACACAAAAAACCAAAGACCAAAAAACAAAAAAACCTTTTCCTTGGGGGAGACTGAACACATGATCCTTGAATGGGAAGGTGAGAGAGCAAACTGATTTCCAGTCTGCCCTAGGAATGTTGATCCTGGTGACTCAGTTGGGAGAGAATTCAGAATAATCAGAATTGTTTCAGCCTGGTCAGGTAGGGTGGTCATTCCCCTCACATTTGTGATGAGAAAGTGCAGTTTACATATGGAGACTAAACTCAGGCCTGTGAGTCCAGAGCCAGGAATTAGCCTGTGGAATAACCTGAAAGCTGACCACTGTGTACTGTTTGTGATTAATTTGGGACTTTGCTGTTTTCTTAAGGGGAAAATCATGAAAATTCCAGGCACCTGCTGTGACACATGTAAGTATATTACCAATAGCTTGTCCCTTGAAATCCATCAGACCGAGCCAGGGACTGTTCTTTAGAGCGAGCTTTATTCCAGAAAGATATTTCTTGATCACCGGCCAGTCATTATGTTCAAGCCTGCACGAAACTGCCACCCCTTCCTGAATGTTCTTAGACTCACCCCTGCTCACATTCCCTTTCAAATGCCTGTGAAGCAGTCTCTTCCCCGTTTTCTCCAAACTCCTTCCTTACTGTCTCTAGCCTCTCATCTGCCTTTCTCCTCATAGTCTTGGATTGCTCATAGTCCTGTCATGAGAGAATATCTTTTCTCTCCAACCAGAGCTCCTTGAAGACAGGTGCCCTCCATCCATAATCTTGACAAAGCAGACACTCAGTACACATCTATTCATTGAGTGTCATACAGCTATCTTGGAGAGAAAGAGAAGCCACCAGCTGGATAATATTAGCCCCCCACCATGTGCTGTGGGGGCTGCAGACAACATAGAATCCTCTCCAGGATTTATAAGGCTGGTCTAAGTTTATTAACCTCCCCTTGTTTATTCTCTGCCCTTCTTGACCTTGCACTTATGTCATACTGGTTGGTTCTAATAGCTCATTGCAGCTTGGGAGAAGGGGCTCAACAAGTCTGCACATCAGACCGTATTCTTGCAACATGTGCTTATGTTTAAGAGCATAAGTAACTTTCAGGACCCCAATGTTAATGCTGTATTCTCTGAAGATAGATAGACTTATTTGCCTGGACTCATGTTTTTTGTTTCAAGTTTAGTTTAAGGGTTTTTTTTTTTTTTTTTTTGATTCTAGGCCTATGTTCATTTTGGGTAGAGAAAGGAAGAGTGAAAGCATAAATGCCTTCAGTGTTCAATCATTCATTCTTTTCTCGATGATGTACTCAGTCCCTGTAATAGCGGTAATCAAGTTACAGAGCAAGGAAACTTACTCCACAAGCATCACTTTCTACCATTCCCTTTGAATGGTTTAAGAACATGAAGTCAGTAAACCATCAGAAGATGAATTCCCCGTAGGCACTCTGCATGTGGCCTTTGGTCGAGACTGTTATCTGTAAACTAGCAACAAGGGCCATTCTTGGTCGGTGCGTTCAGGAGGCCAGGACCCTTCATAAGAAAAATAAGCCAGGCTCAGGGATTTAAATCTACAGAGGCAGAATATAGTATATTGGCCTGAATTTGTTTTCCTTATTCATCCTCTTAATGTAGTTGGCATGCTTTTGCTTTAAAATGAAATTATTTGGAAGTTGAGAGGCAGGCTAATATATAGTTAGGAGCCATCCAAGAATGGAAAACTCCCAGGGTTCATATGGGGAATGGTGAGCTGTCCTTAAATCTCAGCATTCTCAGTGTGCAAGTAGCATTCAGATCTGAATGCCACCAACCGCTGTATGTAAAGAAGTCCATGCCAGTGACCCGGGGGCAGCTATCTCCAAAGAGAGGACTCCATAAGGGCTCCTAGGGTCTACTTGACCCCCACAAAGGCAGTGAGAGCCCTTATGTGGCCATAATATTGTCCTATCGTATTAACGCAAAGGCAGGGATGGATAGTTATTACTTATATTTATTGGCACTCCATTGCGCATTAGCTTCTGGATATTTTTACAAGAATAAGAGGATTGCTGCAGTCTTTATGGTTTTTAGAGTCTACAGTTATATAAAAACGAGTCTCACCGGTCCACATCACCAAAGCAGTGAATCTAGGCTCCTCCTGCAATTAAAATTGTACAGTTAAGTTAGTGAAACCCAGCAATAACTATATATCTGAATATGAAGAGCGGGGGTGAATTAGGATGACACAATTCCCCTCCTTGTATCTGGCTTTGGTGATTTGGTTACTGTTTTCTGCCCTGTGAGGGAACTGGGCTGGACAGTGTTCTACAGAACCGCAGCCAGGCCTGAGTCCCATCTCTCACCTGTCCTACAGGTGAGGAGCCTGACTGCAAGGATATCACTGCCAGTCTGCAGTATGTTAAAGTGGGAAACTGTAGGTCCGAAGAGGAAGTGGACATTCATTACTGCCAGGTAAGGGCCCCGACTTCACTGAGGCCTCGGTTGGGAGGGCATCCCTTGTTTTGAGACATCTTCTTAGTTACATTTTAGAAGGATCTGGAAAACTCACAGGGAGAAGTGAAAGAAACTAGAAGCCTTTTTTTTAAAAAAGCAAATATTTTATTGAAGTAACTGGGAACTTTTGACCCCAGAAGAAAAAAACTGAGGAAAAATTCAACAAGTCCTTCAAAGGGAATGGAGAGTTATTTATGGAAGCTGGGGACTGTGTTTCCTGAAGATCAATCAAACACTCATAGAAATTACAGCTAGAGGAATCTGGGTGTGATGGCACCATTGGACAGAAGACATTTCAGACTTCCCTGAGACCTGCCTTTGTGCTGCATTTCTCAGGGCGAGGCCAGGCTTGCCTTGCATGGAGGAGGGCGTGTGGGGGAAGCAGGCTGCCTCAGAGTCCTCCCCACCCTGGATTCTCTATCATCGAGATGCCCTGCCCCTCTCTGCTCCACTGCAGGGTAAATGTGCCAGCAAAGCCGTGTACAACATCGACACTGAGGATGTGCAGGAACAGTGCTCCTGCTGCTCGCCGACGCGGACGGAGCCCATGCAGGTGGCCCTGCACTGCGCCAACGGCTCCGTTGTCTACCACGAGGTCCTCAACGCCATGCAGTGCAGATGCTCCCCCAGGAAGTGCAGCAAGTGAGGCCACTGCCGCCATTGCTGTGGGGGCCCCGCTGCCGCCTGCCTCGGCCCCACCGGCCAGAGTGCTGCCCCGTCCTCTTGTATGCTCTGCTATTGTGCCCTTCTGAGCCCACAATAAAGGCCAATCTCCCATCTTGCAAAAGGCTGATGGTTCGCTGCGTCTTCCGGACTGAGATGACAGCTGTAGATGGGGCCTGAGTTCTGAGACTGGTTCTGAGGGAGAAAACACAGCCTCTATCTGAAAACACTCTAGCCCCTGGGTCTGTGGGAGGCACTGCCAGCCTCTGGGTAAAAGTGGTGGTTCTGCCTCCGCGTAGTGCAGAGGGGAAGGGATCTATAGGGCAGGCCTCCTCAGAAACTCAGCCCAGTGGCCTGAAGCAAAAGGGGTTTGCTCAAGAACACTGCGTTCCCCAGTCTCTGAATCCAGGAGCTCTGAGCAGAACAGAGGGGTGGGCCCTGGAGCCAGGCTCCTGCCGAGATAGACAGTGTGGCAGCGTTGTGGCTGACATCATGGACAAGGAGTTTGACCAGATGTGCAAGGAGTTCTCTGAGCCCTTGAATGACCAAGTTCCTGTGTACCCGCCGGGGACTCTGTGGGAGAGAGAGGTGTGAGGGGGCTGCAGATGGGGTGCTGGCAGGTGCAGGAACATGGTCCCATCCCCACAGGCTCAGCCATGGGTGGTGAACCCCAGACTTGGGGGCAGGCCCGGGTCCTGCATAAAGCCCTTGCTGTCCTGTGTGGCTTCTAGTAAGGTCCTCAGTGCTTCTCAGATTTAGTTTCCTCATCTAGAAAACAGGAATGTGAGTCTCACTTGTGGGGTTGGCAGGATAAATAAGTTTGACAGTCTGGGGTAACTGTAAAGTGCTCTATAATAATGTAAGAAGTGACAAGAATAAAAATGGGGACATCAAGGCTCAAAAGGAGGAATACGTGTCTCTGCCATAAGGAGCAGAATACTGGGGATTTCCTTTGTTCTGAGGGGTGAAGAGCTGAGCTCCCCCAACCCCCAGCTGCATGCCGGATGCCAAGGCCCTGCCTACTCCAGGCACCTTTACTGGGAGAGAAAGAGGTACAGTTAACACCCAACTTCACCAGTTCCTCTAGTCTCCAAATCCCTAACTGGCACTGTCACTCTCAAGGAGAGATTGTTTTTCCTTAAAATGTGTGAGAAAAGCTTACATGTATATGCCGGCGAGATGGTGGAAACTCTCATTGTGGAGAGAATACCCGTGAGAATGAAGGGAATGCCCTGGATATGTGACAGGAATCTGATGGACACTTGATCTTCATTCTAGATCCTTTTAACACGAGAGAGACTCAACTCATTGAAAGTGAAGGATGATGGAGCTGGAAAGGATTTAAACATCATATAAACCACTGCCCCTCCCCTGTCCCTTCAGAGGATGAACGCAGCTCAGAGAACTCCAGTGACTTGGCGAAGGTCACGCAGCTGCTGGGTGGTGGGGCCAGGTTCAGAACCCAGGTGCCTTGACACCTAGGCAAGAAGTCCCAGGCCGCTCCACCAGAGCCACGTCATCCCTGTTGCTTATAGATTCAGCCCTTGTTATCATGGGAGCCAGTGACTGCTACATTTCTGGGTCTTAACCACTTTTGTTACTGCTGGGGACCAACCTCTAGGGAAGATGCAGTATAGGCAAATGGCATGGATTGTGTTGAATAGGTTTGGTGGGGAGTTTAGGGTAGAGGGAAGGAAGAGTGGATAGATATAACTGCTCAATAATTCAAATGTTGTCATCGCTCTATCCATCACCGCCTCCAATGTTGAGTAGCCTCTAAGGTCTCTGCAGGAAACCAGATCCAGTGCAGGGCATTACCTGTCTCTCTCCTGACTGATCGCCTAACACTCTACCTGGGGATGAGGTATTGTTATTGGAGGCATCAGCCACAGAGAGACTCAGCAGAGAGGCTGCCTCTTCAGCATAAAGTGTCAATTTTCCTACTGTCCGACCCACTGTTGCCTGACTTTCTCCTCCTATTTACTGATATGACAATTCACTATCAAGAAAAAACAAAAACAAAACTGAATCAGAAAAGCTGCATGTTTTGATTTAGAAAGAGAAACTGGTGGAGGCCGTGGGGGTGTGTCTCAGCACCCCCCCTACCCCCACAATTCCTCAGGTCTTCCCAGGGCAGAGTCTGCCTCTGGTCTCAAGGACTTTCTTTTTTGCCCACCCCCTTAGACCAAAGGAGACAGAATCCCGCAAAGTGAGTTTTAGGGGGAGTCAAGAAGAGAGTATAGAGGAACCAGGGGATTAGCAAGTGCTAGAAGGGGAGAAGAAAGGGAATGGCTAAACTATGTGGAAAGGTTTTCACTTGCCTTGGCACTGAGACGTCATGGAGAAGGTCCCTGGAGTGAATGGGGAGGGGGCATTGTTCGAGAGAGAAAGAAGCCACATGGCAAAGTGTTTTGAGCACAGACTCTGGAGCAGGTGGCCCGCTTTGGGACCCCAGCACACTTCTTAGAGGCAAGTTGCTAGACCTTATACACTGCAGTCTCCTCATCTGTAAATTGGGCATATACCTCATAGAATATAGTTATTGAAATTAGTAACTGTGGGTTAGGAAGAGGAAGTCCTCTATAAACATTATCCATGATCACTCCTAGTGGGCAGAATGAAGCCTGGGATTGGGACATAATACTTACGGTTTTCTTTCTGCAGTCACCACCAGCCCATCTTATCAGTGTAGGAGAACATTCTTCACACCAAAAGGTCAGTGGTCATAAATAGCACACTTGACTTTCACATCATACCTTTTCATTTCGGGGTCCCCAGTATTAAGGAACATGTTTAGCTTCAGGGCATCTTGGAATTGTAGATTCCAGAATGACCTTTAGAGGTCTTCCCTTCCATCCCTCTGCCCATGGCCAGGTACCTAACCTTTCCAGAGAGACGCCAGTCCTCTTGTTCTTTGGGATGGGGCTTCCACAGTGTCCCTCGACCTAGGGTCTCATTGGGATGCTCATCTACAACCTACCCCTCCTCCTGCCTCCTGCAGCCCCTCTTCCTGTCCTACCTGTCCTCTCTGCACCTATTCCTAGACTCCTGCCCCTTTTGTCTAGAACAAGGTGGGGACTGCTGGCGGCAGGGTCCAGTGAAGGCAGGTGTGCAGGGAGCCTCCCGCCTCCAGCCCACCCCCACCTCGGGCGGTTTCCTGAACCAGGCGGCCGGCGGGAGGCTTTGCGGGTGGGATTGGAAACTAATCAGCCAGACGGTTCACGAGCTAATCCGGCTGAAGGTTCACACCCGGTCCAGGTTGTGCGGCACCTCCCCCAGTGGAGGAGAGCGGGCAGCACGCACGGCCTCGCCCCTCAGCTCCATTAACCCGAGAGTGACCCGGACTCAACTCCACCGCGGAAACGCGCTCGTTTCTCCACGTGGCGCTCGTTGCCCGCGCGCCCGGGGCGCGGCGCGGCGGGAGACTCCGGGGTCGGCCTCTACCGGCGGGGGCCGGGTGGCCTGGGGGGATGGGGGAGGAGGCGGCGGCAGCAGGCAAGGGGCGGGCACGTCCAGACCCAGCTGAGCCGCGATGGAATTAGCCCCGCTGCGGAATAAGCTTGTCCAGTCGCGGGCGCAGCAGCGGGGCAGTCCCGGTTTTGCGTCCTGTGTGCTGGCACCATGGCCACTCCCGGGCTGCGCGGTGAGTCTCCCCTGCTGGGGACCCAGGTCCTGGACACCTGGCAAGTTGTAGTAGGGAGAGAGGCTGGAGGTGAAATAGACCGCATCCTAACTCCTACTTTTCGGGATTGGTTCCTTCGAGTGAACCTGGAGAGGGTGGTGTGGGGAGCGGATCCCTGTTCCCTCGGGGTAGGGGAGATGAGGGACGCCTGAGCGATTTCCGAGTTCTGTGGAGGAGAGGAGGCAGGGCTAGAGGCACAGGGTTGCTGCAGCGCTTTTTTTGGAAAAGGATTACCAATTCCTGCCTCAGAGATTTTGCCTCTCCTTGTTACAAGTTGTTAGGTGGTTAGTGTTTGGGGGAGGGCAAACGACTAGCAGGGTTTAATTCAGAAACAGTCTGCTGAGGACAGAGGTTCAGATTCACCCTCAGCAAATTTGCTTTTGGCATTCCGGGAAGTCTCCAGCCCTTCCCCAAAACTGCCCTCAAAAAGGACATTTGCATCTCGGGATGCAGGGAAAACCAAGCAAGTCTTTTACAGAGGGCTTTTCTTAGAAGAAAAGCAAATGGAAGTGGAGTTTGGGGGAGGAGGACATTATTCTTCCTCCCAAATTATACTGAGCAGACAGATGCATTTGGGCAGGGTTGACTTTGCCTGGAACAGGGATTTCGTTTTGTTTCTGGAAGTTCTTGAGAGATACATGAAACAAGGAGATGCCCACAACATTGGCATGAACAATAAGCCAAAGGGACTGGAAGATAGGTGTCACTCCTAGTCCTGAGACTTTGAGAGCAGATGTGAAGAAATAGCCCCAGGGACCATGTTGGAACCTGGTCCAAGACAGAAGGTTCCATTGAACAAGGTTAGTTCTAAGCGCAAAGGCAAGTGGCAGGTGGAGGGAGAATCTTAGACAAGGTCAGGGCTCTCCCAGAAGATTGTGATACTCTGAGTTCTTCCACTTGCCTGGACTTGGTTCTTAGAACCAGACCTCAGAGCCCTTGCCCAGCTGTCTGTCTGTCACCCTTCCCATCTGCTGAGCATCCAGGGCCCATTTGTTCCTCTGACTGTGTCTTGCTATGCACTCATCATTTTGGTAGTCAAGGGTTTGATATGGTTCTTCCCAGCAACCTTCAGTGCTCTCTGGATTGCCTCTGTGTGGGAATCTGGGCCACTTTGCTGGCTGAGCGAAGAGGTTGTGTGAGGTAGGTAGGATGCGTTCTAAACACCAACCTCGGTTTCTGGTCCAGTTTCTATGTGTACATTCTCTGCCATCTTCCATTGCGGGGTCAGTCTGGAGGGTCAGAGACACTGGGGCCTAAAGTGGAGCTTGTCTATCATTTTCTCTAATGAGCCCGACTGTATGTCAAATACTGTATGCTCAGTGCTGGACTTGCAAAGATCAGTAAAGGCACACACCTGCCTATCTGGACCTTACAGTCTAGATTCTTGGTATCCTAAGATGATCTTAATACTTTAGCAGCCACATG